ATTGTAAGGTTCTGCAAACCATGCCTACATTACTTTTGTACATTTCATACATATTGTATCAACGTTTCTAAAGTGACAGAGTTGCGATTACATCTATATGAGCTGAGTTTGTCATATGGAGTTGGAAGAGATGGTGGATCATGTGAGATCCAGGCCAGACGGCTGCCAAGCTGAAGACCATTGTTATCATAACTGAACTGTTTTATTTTTTTTTTACAGAAACATTGACAGTATTTCCTGCCACATTATCTTTTCCTAATCATAACCAAGAGGTTTTTTTGTGTCTAAACCTAACCACATGTTAATTCTGGCAAATCTGTTGAGAAAACACCTTCCAGTGAATCTAACCCTGTTGCACTGTACATGCAGGGATCATCTGGGGTTTGTTCAGAGTTTGGAGGGTGTGTTAGGTAAGCTTACAGCATGTTAAATATAATTTTTAATTATTTATTTTTAATCTCTACATGTCTTAAATACACACATTTTTATATCTTACTATATAATGACGAAAACTCTGTCTGTGGGTGCGTCTGTTCCACGTTTTTCTCCTCACTGACTTGGTCAATCCATGTGAAATTTGGCACAGTGGTAGAGGGTCATGGGAGGATGCGAATGAAGCAATATTACATCAATTGGCCAAAGGGGGGCGCTATAGCAACCGATTGAAATTGCAAACTTTGAATGGGCATATCTCATGCCCCGTATGTCGTAGAGACATGAAACTTTGCACAGAAATGCCTCTCCTCATGAGGAAAAATAGTCAAAAAACACACACATCCCAAGGTCCATTTGGAGTGGGTGCTGGATGGATACATATATATAAAAGTCATGAAAAACGGAGAAAGTGTACCGCACACCAAGTGTCAGCTCCCATTGAAGGCTTTTTTATTTGCGCTGTGATGTTTCGAGCACAAGGCTCTTTCTCAAACTGTTGTTACATGGGTAGACAGAGACTTGGTAGCTTAAGAAGATACCCGCCCATACAAGACATGTGATTTAACACACCTGGTGTCAATTGGTATCAATCAGTTTGGAAAAATACTTAGAAGAATATATAGAAAAATATTAAGCAAATGCATTTGAAAAATACATATGAAAAATATAGCAAGGTACATTAAGAAGTACATAGAAGGTACCTAAATACCAAAGTAATATAAATCCACATGTAGACAATATGTGGACACAATTGAAATTACGTAACATATTTTACAAATTTACAACATCTGGACCTCCTCTATATTAGAGTAAGGCATAATCAAGCTACAGAGCCATCATAAACTACGAACTATAATAAGAGGCGCCTCTGTCTAAAAACGGGATCTAAAATAAGTATTTTTAAAGACAGATAAACTGCATAGCAACATGTTGCTATACAGTTTATATGCATAGCAATGTCTCTGCAATGCAGCAATGTCTCTGTAAGGGTATATTTTTTTTAAAGATTATTTGTTTGGCTTCTTTTTTTGATAGCACAGTGGTAGCATGAAAGCGCATTAAATGAGAGATGAGATGAGAGAGAGGGGATGACATGCAACAAAGGGCTGCAGGCCGCAATTGAACTTGTGGCCACTACGGCAAGGATGTAGTGCTTACACACGGGGCGCCTGCCCTACCAGGTGAGCTACTTGGCACCCCAAAAACATCACAATCCCTAGTGGAAATGCAGTGTCAGATGGCTATAAAAGACTCACATTTGGTGGCTAAAATGCCCCTTAAAAATGCAGCACTGACTCTCCACAAACAACTGGTGTTGTTTATTGGTTGTGTTGCTTATTGGTCTCGAACAGTGGTGTGCCCTCCATCTCCCATTGAGCTCAGCTCACATACTAAGTCACTTCAGAAATGTTGATATATGATTGAAATGTATAAATATAACACGTGTGGTTTGCAAAACTTAACATTTTCTTCTGGTGACTGGGCTGAATGAAGACAGAGTTAGAATGCACCTTAAAGTGTGGCTCTTCCCTTTGCTTCCATGGTTTGTGCTAAGCTGAACTACTAATTTGAGGAAGCAAGCTTGATCACCACAAAAGTCATTCTGTGGCTTTTATTGAGCTTTCGATGATATTACATGATATTCATCAGCAGATAAAGTTTGCTCCGAAGTGTGTACATTGTTCAGATTTCCTTTTGTTTTCTGAGCACTTGAAGGACTTCTTGTCCATTTTGGCTTAAAAGATGACTTTCAAAGTAAATTCTTGACCCTAGAAGCAGCACTTGACAAAGTAATCTCACCACAAGGTCCACTGACAGGTTTGAACATGCAACAAATACTTTATATTATAATTAAAACACATCAAAACCACAAACAATGTCAAAGATAAAAAATATAAAGCTATGTCTATTGGACACACAATGATGAAAGTGGTGTTTATGTTTTGACCTAACTCTGGGTAAGAACTCAAATCAGCTGATTACAGACCTGGGATTTTACAGAAGCTCTTGTGGTGGTAATTTAATGCCAATGTCTTTGAGATGCTAGTCAACAATTATGCAAGAGGTTCCTCAGTTGTTTCAGTTGCAGTAGAGGTAGAGCCAGCACACACACACACACACACACACACACACATGCAAATACATACACAGACACCTTGGCACATTCTCAGACGCTGAAGCACAGTGAGTCAGCTGGGTACATCTGACTTGTCCACATACACACACTTCATACACACCGTCTGCGTCTATTTTTATTGCATCATATGAAGGTTAAGGCTTGTGATCAGAAAAGTTTACTCCTTTCAGTGACGGGTTGCTTGTTGTTTGTGGTAAGACTTTTTTGGTGGGGCATTTTAACATGAAAGTAAAAGAGGAAGTAGCCAAAACTCACACTGCATTCGAGAGCTGTTAAACCTGCTTCTATAATAGTGACCATGTTTGGTTGACCATGAACCTGCATTTAGTCTTTTCACTGCTGTGCTGCATGGTGAGAGAAAAACAAGACAGAAACACAGAGAGCTTTCTTTGAAATGAAGCCATTCAATATTTAACCACACAGGGATATCCTGTATGATCTGTCTGATAGAGCAGGACAAGCTGACCAGCACTGTACTGTGAGCTGGTGTTAAATTAAATTCACTTCAAATAAAATGAGTCAGATGTAACTTAAGGACAAAATTGGAAAATAAGTTTTGTGGTATATGACAGAAGAAGTTGTAAATTGGTGGTTTCAGCTGATAAAAGTCACACAATTGGGCGCTGTCCTGCACAGATGTTGACTTTAGTTAATATCTTTTCCAAACATTCCTGTCCAGGATCATAGAAACACATGAAATTGACACATACTTTTAGCAATGCATTATGTGGTGGGCAGTAAATATGTTATGTGCTACCAACATAAACCAATGCAAAGTCAATAAGGATCTTTCGTCATGGCGAAGACACATATTAAGTATAAAGAGTGAGACAGTCCGCGTATAGTGGATGGGAGGGGTGGTAAATGGGTCAAACAAACCAACCAATAACCAGGAGACTGCTGTTCATATTCAGTGTGAAACCAAAGTAACTTTCTGGACTCTATGTAACGTCACGACACAACATATCCTCATACAACCATTTGTATGATATCCTATGAATAAGCGCACCCTGAATGATGTTACATCCTTACTGTAAAGTTATGTTACTGACATAAAGTTACAGGGTACAGGGTAAGTAAAGATACCACGTTTAGGTTTACGAAAGGAAACATGGTGAGGACACACCTTAAAATTACTCAGAGTTCATGTCCTAGGGGAAAGTCCTGTGTTCTGGGACCCATCCACCTGCCCAACGTGCGTCCCAACTAGACCACTCGGGAACTCCTCCTTCTTTATGAACATGGGCTGGATAGATCACAAAAAATGTATTTAACAGGCCACTATATCCTCATACAATGGCTCATATGATATCCTACAAAAATGCCCACACAACAGGTCAGATCATGTTCCACATACTTTTAGCACCCCACGAAGCGTATTACTTATTTAAGGCAAAGTTACTCACCTAATCTAAAGTTATGGAGGTGAGTTTCAGGCAAGTAAAGGTACTGTGGTTAGGTTTAAGAAAAGAAACACACTAAGGATGTACCTTTAAATTACTTAATTACACAAAATTTCGAACATCTGTCTCCCAGTGGGAAGGATCTGGTGGAAGTGATCCTGTGTTGTGTGACCCATTAACCACTCCAACCTCCCACCTTGCACTCCCGTTTCCTTCTTTTTTCTTTACCCACATAGATATTGACAAATTTTGGTGCATTACTTTTTGTAGGAAAACACACAAACAGTGCATGAGAGCAGCCTGAACTGGCGTATTTTGTTCATGCTGGGAATAAAAATCTGATCTAAATCCCTTCAAAACTCTCCTACCACTACATGTACAGAAAAAAAGATTGTGTCATGCACAAATTACCCTGCTGTGAACAGCTCAGGCTCATCCTACATCCAGGACATGGTCAAACCATACACCCGGCTTGTCCACGACTACTGCCAAGCAGCTTCCTTTGCTCCCTCACCAAGACGGGGGGTTGACTGTACCGCACAACAAAGTCATGGCCATGTGTCGTCCTGGCTTCACAACGGTGGCACTCTACATTGACATAATGACAGCAGATCTGCACATCTTCACACTGAAAACTGTTAAACTGCACTTTGTTCCATAAAGTGAGAGTAAAAAAACTCTCCATCTCTTATTGTCTCTAAATGAAGCACTAGATGTAAATGAGCACATTTCATTGAATTTGGTGTACTTGCATGATTCCTGCGCTTTTTTTAAAAAAACCTAACCAAGTAGTTTTGTTGCCTAAACAACAATCACGATGTTTTTTATTTGTGCGCCACAAAGAGACACTAAAGGGCACCATGTGCATCTCTATGAGACATCAAGGGGCGTGACAAAACATTGGGTGTTAACAACATTGGAACGAGAACGGGTCGATATCTCAGGTCATCTTGTGATGTTTTCCTCCTCACTGTCTAATAGAAACAGGAGTTATATGATGGGTAACTTTCTTTTGTATTTTACAGCCTCACAATGTTTTCCAACACGACTCTGCCTCCTCCCAAGTCTATCAAGAATGACCAGGCGACAACTGTGGACGTTGACGCCATCATGGACATGGTCTCTATTGTCCTCTACACACTGACTGTCGTGTTTGGCATCACAGGGAACTCTGTGGTGATCTGGGTGGCTGGATTCAAGCTCAAGGTGGATTTAATGAGTTACAAATATTTTCTTAGAAAAAAGAAATTATGCACTGGTGCTCGTTGTCCTGTTACTGTTTTATTAATCTCCATAAGATATTACCATCAATAGAAGTACTGTAAATGTGCTACTTTAAAAACAGTTCAGTAAGACAAAAGGAGGAGCAGAGAAGTGATATTGAAAAGTATGATATTCAGAATGAAAAATAGACATAGTTCATTTCTTCATTTGAAAATTAACTCAATACTTGTGATATCCAGAGCATCCAGTAGCTATGTTTATTAAAAAAATCAGTTTGAGATGTACGCTGCTGCTAAAAGTATTCTTACACTGTTTTAGATGTTTTGGGGAAAAAGTTTTTATAGAAACTATTCATAAGTTCCTAGCTACTGTTGCTATGTCTGTTCCATCCTGTGGCTGCACATATGCAGTTTACAGTTAGTGCATTAACATGGACATGAATAATCTATTTATAATCGTGAGTAACCAGTTTATGTGTTTGAGCATGTAAACACCATGTCTTGTTTTCAGTAACCCTGTTAAGACCTCATACCGTTCAAATCAAAAACCCTAATATGCCAGGTGGGGTACTCAAGATAAATTGGGATCCTTTTGCATGTATATATCTTGTCCTGGCGCAGCTAAGTTATATAAAAGAACTACAAACAATGGTCTCACTCTTGGAGCGATGAAGAAACTGAGTTTTGTCTTGACAAAGTTTGCCCCTGCCAGTGGCTGGTGCTTTGTTAGACTGTTTCCAATATGGCAGGTCACAAGGTTTCTCATTTTACAAAAACAGTTCACTAAAATATCTTTATGAAACATCTAAGGAGAGAAATGCAGCTGATGCAGTACTAGAATCTTAGTGCTGCCTAGCTTAAGAGTTTGACTGCAGTTCATGGAGCAGCGGTTGACAGCTGCATTACAGAATTCTTGACTCTCATTGATTTTTTTGTTCTCATTCACAATTCTACTTCATGGCAATATGATATGCACTGAACAGCAACAGATGGTGACGCAGTGGTCGACAACCGAACTTCTTAAATACCACCATTTTGTCAGATATGTCAGATATGATGCACAAAGGCACCTTCGGCAGCAGTTTGTAATGCTACCAGCAATTACTGCACTATAAACAAAGAAGTCTCTAAAGGGTGGGAGTACTGGACTTTCACCTGGGAGCTTGCTGTTTGTTTCTCGTGTGAACAAAGTTCTGTGGAGTTATTTTAATAACAAAATAGTGTACTAGTATGTGTAACATGCTACGGTAGTGACCTATATCCTACGTCAAAATGACTTATGTGACGTGATGATACATGACATTAGTAACAAACTATTTATTTTAAGCCAAACTTGTTTTTTTTAACCTAACCATGAGCTTTTGTTGCCTAAAAATAAAGTCTTTTACCCACGTTTATTTTAAAGACTGTATCCTTATAATGAGCAAAAACTGTACATTTCCTGTGACAAAGGAAGTGTAATTTGAAAAGACACAATGAGTGTAACAAGCGTTAATTGACGTCACCCCAGAACATTCAAAAATAAAGCAGGAGGATAGTTAGTTAGTTATCATGTTTTGATGTTCAGGTCCACTGGAAAAATGGTGGTATAGGACGAGTTGAGGTGTGTTGACGTATTTCATCTACTACTCTTTGGACATAGTGACACTTAAAGCAAATATGTCAAGAAGTTATTTTTATAAATGATAAAAACTGTAATGTAAGCATAAAATACTAAACGTTTCCCTGTAATTCTCCTCCCTTTCCTCGTTTTCTTGTTTTCTCTCTTTTTCTCTCTTTTTCTCTTCTTCCTTCTGCTCAGCCAAAGGTCACTAACGTGTGGCTGGTGAATCTGGCGATAGCCGACCTGATCTTCTGCTTCACACGAATCTTCTCCCTCACTAAGAAGCTCTTTTTCGACCACTGGCCCTTTGGCATCTTCCTCTGCAAGTTCAACGGCTTCTTCAAATACGCCAACATGTTCTGCTCTGTCTTCCTGCTGGCTGTGATCAGTCTGGACCGAGCGCTCTGCATCTGGCAGCCTGTCTTCACCAAGCGACGGCGCACCCTGTGGGCCGCGAGGGTGATCGCCGTCTGCATTTGGATTGCTGCGATCATCTTAAGCACTCCATACTTTGTCTACCGCCAAGTGTACCTGAAGAACAACCTGAGCAAGTGCTCATTCGATGTGAAGGAGAAGGATATTAACAACAGTGCCAAACTGGCTCTCTACTCCATCCGCTTCCTGTGTGGCTTCATGTTGCCCTTCATGGTCATCCTCATTTGTTACATCCTGGCAGGAATTGGCATCCGACGCACCCGTCTGTCGGGGAAGTCCCGGCCCCTGCGTATATTAGCATCATTAGTAGTTGCGTTCTTTCTGTGCTGGGCGCCGTACCACTGCCTCCTGCTGGTGAAGATGGTGGACAGTAAGAACGCCGTGGTGAAGATCTGGCACCCTGTGGCGAAAGGTGTTGCATACTTTAACAGCTGTGTGAACCCGCTGTTGTACTTCTGCATGGGGCTGGAAGTGAGGGGGCGGTTCAGGCAGAGTCTGGCGGGGGTGTACAGGAGAGCTCTGGCGGACGACGTGGATGGACAGACAACCCAGTCCAATGAACGCTCTCTGGATGACAGCAGCGTGTCCAAACACAGCACTGTGGTGGTGGCATCAAGGAGTCAGACATCAGTGGATGTAGCTAAAGTCTGAGTCTGCCCAAGAGTTTCCTTAACACATCTTTGAGCATTAAAGGGCTATACTGGGGTTTTTCACGTTTTTAAGGTCACAGTTAAACACCAGTTAGAGAGTCTCTTGCTGCATATGATTTAGATCAAATCCCTCAGATATGATTGGACAGCTCAGAAGTGTGCACTGCTTAACAAATACAGAGTGATGGGGAGATGTAGAGAACTGTTGGCCTCTACCTTCACCTCCATCACCTGAGTTGTTAGGTTCACACTATATTTAGAATATTTTCACTGCTTTACCATCAGACAGCGATTTCAGATGAAGAAAGCTAAGCCATTATATGACTTTTGTGTTATTGTGTGACTCTGGCATTTAAAATGGTTAGTTCAGATTTACCAAAGTCACACAATAACACAAACTAACCAAGTAATTGTTGCAGAGGTAGACCAGCGACTCTCATATTTTCTTAATGGAATCTTGATGAGAGCATTGATACAAGAACTGAAGCCCTTATCAGCTTCCTGACTGGGCAGACGGGATTTCTGATGGCAAGATAAAGGGGTGAAAATGTTCTCAATGTTGCATACACTTAAACTGTTATTTACCTAAAAAGGTGGCTAAAATACATTTTGTTGCAGCCCCCATCCAAGAAAAGAAAAATGTGCATTTCACAAAAAACAAAAAAGTTGACGAATTTTGTACATAATGGCCCATACATGTAAAAACCACTTGTATGGTTCTTAAAGTCCTGAGACTATCATTTCTATTGTAGCTTAGACCACTGTATTATTTCTTTCTCAGACTGCAGTAAATTGTATAGGTGCATTTGATAAAAATGCAATTATCCAAAAGATGAGCTGAGGTTCTAAGAGGCTTTTGGAAATATGTCCAAACTACTGACCATATAGTAAAGACACTGGTGTGACAGATGTTGATACACGCAGGTCAGATTCACATTTTCCTGTAAAGTTGTGCGGGGATTCATGTGATTAAAGTCACAGATGAAAAGTGGAACTGTGGTGAGTCTAGAGGAATAGGAAAGAAAAGGGGGAAGGAAGTGAGACTATTTAAAGGAAAGGCAGTAACAACTTGTGTTGTGTTCGGGGGTCAAACTGAAGGGTTGGTGAATTGAAACTGTACAGTAGGTTTCTATTTATGTTTTTGTTATAGTAATAAAAATTTAACCAAGAGGCTGGTCGACCAGCACAATAAACATCAGTCCTTAGCAAATGGCTCATAAAATACATCTGCACTTGCTCCGTATATTACTGACACATCACTAAGATACACGTCTGTGCAATCAGACTGTGTATCTTGAACTCAGTGCTCTTTAGGTTTTATGGTATTTTTGTCCTACTGTGTAAAGTAGCTGCAGTATCATACTGAATGTTATGAAGAACACAGTGTTAACACTTGGATTTAAATTTCACTGCAACAATAGATATTAAGCTCAGTCCTACTTTTTTGTTGTAAATTTCTTTAAGACACGATAACATGACTTTGTAAATACTGCTTTAAGATTATAGAGAAAAACTGTAATGTGAAAATAAAAGCTTTTAAAGTTGTTAGAAATGTAAAAGTTGGCTTCAGTCATCCAAGATCATAAGGTGCAAGGTCATTATATTACAAAAAAATAAAGCATTATATTTCAAGTTTATAATATTTTTGGGTTGTCCGTCTGTCCGTCCATCCATCCATCTGTCACATTCTTCTGAATGCAATATCTCAAGAACACATTGAGGGATTTTCCTAAAAATTGGCAAAACACTCAAGGACTCAAGGATGAACTGATTAAATTATGGGTGTCGAAGGTTAAGGTCACTGTGACCGGTCTGTCATATTTTTTGTGAATAAAGCCCAGCTGTGTTGCAGGTGACACCATCAGCTGGCTTGAGTCTAGCTCAGACGGCCAGTTAACACCACTGCAACTTTTCTCTGCAACGTTCTAAAACGGTTTTGTTTCGCCCAAATCATTGGTGTGAACTGGGCTAAAGGTATTTCAAGAAGACCGTGAGGGAATTTCTTCAAATTTGGCGCATCCACTTTGATTTAACGATGAACTGATCAGATTTTGGTGGTCAAAGGTTAAAGTCACTGTGACTTTGCGTCTGGCTCAATCTTGTGAATGTGATAACTCAACAACACCTTCAGGGAATTTCCTCAAATTTGACAAAAATGTCCATTTGGACACAACGATGAACTGACGAGTGATCGTATGTCAAAGGTCAAGGTCACTGTGACCATGTCCATCTCATTCTTGTGAATATTTCAAGAACACCTTGTGGGAATTTCTTAGAATTAGAATTTGGTGTTTGAAGGTCAAGGTCAATATGACCTTACAAAACATGTTTTTGGCCATAACCGAACAATTCATACACTAATTATGACAAAATGTTAAACAAATGTCTCATAGGATAAAATTATGAAGTGAGGACATTTTGGGCTCTAGTTTCCCAGCGCAGCGCAGGGTGGCGAACCCCGCGCACAGCTAGTTTCGAGCAGCGCAACCCGAGGCGCGCGTTTGGTAGTTTGGCAGACCGCGGTGCGCTGAGATGGGTGTGGCGGCGCAGCAGGGGGAGGTGTTGACAGATGCAGCTTGGCGCAGTGACCGTTTTGTGCCAAAAGGCTTCGCAGAAGGTGCGCTAAAAGCTCGCCAGCTGAAACCAGGTCTACTGTCAGCGCAGGGGGAGCGCAGCTGGTGTAAGCCGAAGTTTGGCTGACCGGCGGACAGTGCGCACACGTCACCAAAACCTCACAGGCAGGTTTCCAGAATGTCAGGCACATTAACAATGCAATAAATACCCAAAAACCACTATTCAATGCAACTATCTGCAATCAGCACATAAATGTATCTCTATATCGACTGTCCCGTCACATCTGATGTCAGATCAAAGGGGATTAGCACCATTTGGCACGTTTGGCACGCGTAATGGAAACCCAACCTGATTTGATTAACACAGCTGCAAACTAACGAGTTCACATACCTCTCAGCCAACCACAAACAGCCACAGCATCAGATAGGGAGTATATATTCAGCATCTGTCATCTTAGAAAAGTCAAAAGAAAAGAAACAGAGTGAGACTGCGAGAGAGAAAGAGAGAGCGCGCGCACGAGAGAAACGCAACATTGATTTACAATTGTGGTGACCTCCTCCCAGGCTACCTTTGCATCATCAGCCCGTGGAGGTCTGCTCGCAGTTCCGTATATTCGGACACTGCAAGCTTGGACCTCCCGGACCAAAACATCAGTTTCCTCCTGGGAGAAGTTTGGCCATCTGACGCTGCTGCTCTCTTCTGCCATGGCATATTGAGTAAACTCTCATTACGCCTTCGCGCGGCGCATTTAAGGGCAAGGAGAGGGGCTCATTTGATTGGTGTGATGTGTGTAAAACCCACTCCACGCCTTCTCTCCTCCCTCTTTCCGACTTGCGCAGGTAGGAGGGACGGAGGTGGGAAAGAGGAGTGGCTGCGCCAGGCGCACGGTGTGCCAAACTTGCAAAATCCGCCTGGCCACACCCAGTTGGCGAAGCGCAGGTGCGCTGCGCCCCTGCCTCGCCCGGTCTGCGAAACTAGAGCCCTTTATATCTAAAAGGTCAAGGGTCAGCTTCACTGTGACATCATAATGTTCTGTAGAAACACTTTTCTGGCCATTATTTAACACCATTACCCATGAACAGAAGGGGAGACATTTGATTATAGTTATTTTCATTTTCTAGGAAGCGCAAAGACAATAATCACAACCATTCATTGTTGACACACTGATAGTTGTTGAAACATGAGAATAATTTTTAAATCACACAGGAGGGTCTCAGAGGCCTCACTTTTTTATTGTCTATTTTACCACAGTGGATTGGTTTGGGTATTTTTGATTTTCATCTTCCATTAAAACAGACATAACAGACTAGACTGATGTTTGACAGTGTCTGGCAGTCTGTCTCCTTTTGAGATACACTGCCACCTATGTATGAAGGAGTAGATTACAGTTTTCAGACCGACATTCACACCTCAAATCAATGGCTAAATTCAAACATAACTTGAGACAACTCACAGCACAACTTTAGCTAAGGCTGCACCATCCACTAAAAATGGGGTATAATGACAAAATTATTAAGAAAATGTTCAGCTGCATCTGGATTGGCATCAAAATACTCACATTCTGTGGCTCAAAGCTAAACACTTTTTTTAGATATCTTCATTATGACAAAACAAAACAACGCTGAAACATTGATGTCTTGTTATGTAACAAAAACAGTGGCAGTGATTGTGTCTGTAGGTCTACACAGTAAACACACACACCAACAGACTGTTACGCAACTTTACAGTGAACTCAGTGACATTTTAAATATAACAATTAAAGATCAACAATGGAGCTACATACAGAGGAGAGGCTTTATCAGGCTGCCAGGGTTCAGGAAGTCCTCCTTGTTTTTTCAACCTTGTGTTTTGTTTTGTTTTGTTTATTTTTTTTAAATCTGGTTGAACATTCCAAGCTCATGAACAGAGAAGAACAAGGCTGTGTACAAACTAGGGCTGCAACTACTGATTATTTTCATTTTCAGTTTATCTGTGTGTAATATGTAAAACTTTGCCTTATGGGAGGAGACATGTTGAAATCTGCTGACAGCCATATCTCCAGCTGCACCAACACAACTTGACAAATGAGAGTGTGTGTTTTGTGTCTGACTAAAAATGACAAGATCTGATGATCTGTGAAAGCCATCTGTTCCAAAATACATCTACACATTTCAACTGTACATTTCTTTTTGTACAGTTTCATTAGTTTATAATATTAAATTTCTTTCAGATAATAAAATGCCAAATAATTGCCACAGCATAACCAGGTAAAAGTTAAATATGGCTTTTCATTTGGCTTTTCATTCTGGGAAATTCTTATTTTCCTCATAATTAATACCAAATTATACTTATTTTTTCTGTTTTGCCCTAGAAAGAAATTAAACATTATTTATTCAATCTCCCCTGGCCTGCTGAACTAATTTTACATTTTAAAGCAACTTTCCTTTCTTTCTTTTTTTTTTGTAAAATTCAAGCTCAAAAAATGTAACTTGATCTACATTAAGTAATGTTTTGGCTAATGACTAATAGCATCTACCAATTAAGGTGTAAATAGAAGTTAAAGTTTGTAGTGAATCAGTTCTTTAACTTGACTGTAACAAAATCAGAGTGTGTATTTCAAAGTAAAAACTATTCTTAGATGTCAGTTTAAATATTAGTTGTTTTTTTAAATGAAAAAAATCTAAATTGTAACAAAGTAAAAGATGATGTATAATCTTTACAGTAATCATATTTTTACCTTGTGTGAATGTAGGTTTTAAAATCAAAACTGAAGGTTTCAACAAAATCTTAAATATTATGTGAGGAAAAATTAATAATTTCAACTGTAACAAATTTGAGTAATTTTTTTATTTTTATTTTTTTTAAATCTGGTCCAAAATATATATATATTTACCTCCACCAAGGAGGTTATGTTTTCACGAGCGTTGGTCTGTTTGTCTGTTTGTTTGTTTGCCTGTTTGTTTGTTTATTTGTCTGCAAAATAACTCAAAAAGTTATGAACGGATTTTGATGAAATTTTCAGGAAAGGTGGATAATGGGAAAAGGAACAGATGATAATATTTTGGTGATGATCGGTTGAAGCAAAGTGGATAAAATAATAAATAAAGTCTATGGTCTGACAGCCTCAGCAGCAATTAAGACAGTGAAAATAGCGCCATCTGGTTGCCATAAAGCACGTCTTGTTCTACTTGCTAAATATTGTTGTAATTCTAAAGTTGAAATTAATGTTCTGTGTTGGAAAAAAAGAAAGTGAAAAATACAAAAAAACATTATATTCTGTGTTGGTACAAAATGAAAACGAAATAAATACACCACAGTGTCTCCATGGTGAAGGCATATAACCTAATAATGATAGTTATACAAATAACGTAATTGTTATGCAGGCTGCAAAATCTGATGCAGAGGGGGAGGGAATATCACTTACTTGGCGGAGGTCTGCACTCTCTGAGTGCTTTTCTAGTTTTTCACTGTATTCATATTTTGAGTAATGTCGCTGCACTTCTATCAATGTCATGTTGAAATTGTAGATCATAAAATAGAATATCTAAATATTCAAGACAATATGAGATCAGAGACGTTAATCAAAGTGTTTTATTGAGAAGTAAGGACAATAATCAAGTTTAAATTAAAAGGTTTTTAAATATTATATATAATTTATAACTTCACACACCATCATTATTGGTTACAAATCAAAGCACAATTTAAATATTTGTTGCTGTTCATCTCACTGACCAGCATCCTTCTTTATAAACTACAGGATTTTTCAAGGCACCTGTGTAACAAACAGTAATAGCACATTACAAAATCAGGAATAAAAGTGATTAAAATGAAAATATGCACAACAAGTTCTCATCCCAACTCGTCAAATACCACCACTATGTCAGTGGACCAAGTCAAAACATGATGTACTACTGTAAGTAGACTCAGTCAGTTTTGGATGTTCAAGGATGGCGTGTCAATTTATGCTTGTGACATGGATTGTGTCGTTTTAAAACATGCTTCCCGTTTTCACAGGAAATGTACTGTTCTGAGTCTTTTTCGGAAAAACTTACAGCATACGTAAAACATTTAATTTTTGGTATATTTCCTTAAATTTAGGCAACAAAAACATTGCTGCATGCCAGGCAGGGGAAAAGGGCATTTTTGTGCCATGTCTTCCTCCTCCCTGTTTTTCTTTCTCTCTCCCTCCACTGTTTTCTCTCCAGGTGCCAACAACCTGATTACTTCCCACTTAATGCAGAGTGCTGGTTGGTTACCTCAAGCTTATAACCTGCCTGTCCTCAATAAAAGGAGTTCCGGCCTCTCCTTTTTGATCCTCTGCACTGGTTAGATTTGCAAATAGACATGGCTTGGCAATTAAATATGTAGAGTTGTCGCTTACATCGTGTAACGTCACGCGACATACATCACTGCATGCTACACATACTCGCACACTACATTGTTATTAAAATAACTCCACTGACTTTTGGTTTCACGCAGCAAACAAACAGGGTTCTGGGTGAAAGTCCAGACTTTCTTATTGTGTATACTATGATGGTTGCCAGTTGGCCAGTGTGTTTTATACTGCCGCAAAGGGTGCCTATGTGCATTGGTGTCTGATACTGATGTCCACTGACAAAGCACCTGTATTTAATTAAGAGTTGGGAGTGGGCTGAAATGCCTTCAGTTCGTCCTTTTTCATTCTTCATGTTGTATTGAAATGACAATCAAGTGTCAATGCAGAATCATCACAGCAAAAGATATTTTGAAGTAAAATATCAGTCACATCCTTCATATAAAGTGACAGTGATTCACTGCGTCACCAGTAAGGCTCATTTTTTTTCAGTTTCAGTCTTTGACTCTTTCTGTAAGGGGCCAATGTTCTCTCAATTTTTATATCAAAACAACTTTCTCTTTAGTCATCTACGTTTTATATGCAAATCAAATACCAACCCAGATGTTTCATTAATTAAAAACTGAAAATAATGAGCCTTAGCTGTCAGTCATTAGCAGCATTTAATGTACGACCTTGATGTTGCCATGGTGATTTACACACAAACACACAAGACACACACAAACTGAGGTTGTGTCGTTCTGGTTCTACAGTTTTGGTGGAATCATTATCATTAGTCTTATGAGAGGCACTGGATTGTTAAAAATATCAATCAACTCAATGAAAACAATTTAAATAAGTTAAGTGTAGCTTCTTTTAAATCATAGATACAGTACTTATTGTTCCAAAGTGCTAAAAACAGGTTAGTTCTTCCTTGTTTACACCAGAGTTCCGCCGTCAGGGTTTCTTTGGACGATTGGGTAATCACTGCTTTTGTCTTCATCATCGTTGACCTGCCAGGAATTCAAATGATCCCATGAATGCTACCACACCTAGAACTTTGCACACATGACCTGCCAACAATTTTTCCAGTCTAACCATGGTATAAGAAGGGTGGGGTATAATAGAATACGTTGCCATCAATCTTAGCTGTCAACTTAAAGCTTATGAACCTATCAGTGGCTGACACATTAACTGGTCACTTGGCTTTGTCACTCAGGAGATGCATCTAATTAAGGAGAGACTGTACAGTATGTTCAGAACATGCACATTAAGACTGAATCACAGCGCCAACACTATCCAAGGGCTTTGAAATGACTGACCACTCTATTAAACAGAGGGGATATGAGTTGCCAAACGTGTTTATAGAATTCCTGGTGAAACCTGGCGATTTATTGTTGGGCATGAAATGTGTTTTCCTGAGTTTATCTGAGGTTATAGGTTGGTCTCAATGCTGCTTTTTCATCTAATATTGATAATACTGTAAAATCTGTACTTTCACATAAATTTTTGACAAAGTATCGTGCTTTGGCATAGCTGCTGTGATGCCACCCATTGGTTTGGGGACTCACATTTTGAGGCTTCGAGTCTAGCATTTTGGCCGTCGCTGTTGTGTCTTTTTGGAGGCAGAAGTGAACATATTTGGCACTGTGGAGGAGTGAGGGGTGGATGTGACTCATAGACAGTGGTGAGGCCTTGCAGACAGCCTGTCACCCAAAACAGCCATGCCCTTAATCATGTGTAACATTAAGCCAGGAGTCAGCAACCTTTACTATCAAAAGAGCCATCTTTGACCAAATATAATTCAAAAGAATCTGCCTGGAAGTCCAAAACTTTTTGAGCCTTATGGTAACACTGCATATCAAATCTAAAGTAATGAGCATACAAAAATATGTTTTACCATAAGATGAATCCTCTGCATTGGGCTATTTATGACTATTTGGTACTTTAACACTGGCGGTTAAAGCAAACATGCACTATCAAATTCTGTTTTTTCCTCTGAGTCTAGCCACCACTGTTGAGGTCTGGCAAAATGTACAGGAAAAGCAACAGGCTGTAGACGTATGATGCACATTTTACTTGACGAAATGTGAAAACTTTTTTTTTTTTTTAACAAGCCTAGTGCATAGGTTACAGTAAGTAAGAAGTAAGTGAGACTGTCTTCAGGCCTACAATAGTGTTAAATAGAAATGAAAATGCTACCAAAAAAAAAAAAAAATCATTTTCATAGGATATCTTTAGTCAAAGCCACAGAGAGCCACTGGAGAGGGGCTAAAGAGCTGCATATGGCTCCAGAGCCGCAGGTTGTCTACCCCTGCTTTAAGCCTTGATTAAATATAAACAGGTGAATTATATAGTAATGCACCCCCTGTACAGTTGTCATGAAGGGGGGAAATTAGCTAAAGGGACCAAAACTGTTTTTTATACCAGAATGTAAACATATTTATTTCTGTTGTAAAGTGATGTGATGTTCGCGAACGAGCCGAGTCTTTGAACCGGCTCTTTGAAGTGAACGAGTGAACCGGCTCTTAAGAGTGAAAGAGCCAATTCCTAATTTCTTTGTTTTTTGCTTTAATTTACTCTGTATACATTAATTTCAGACTATTTGATCCGGAACAAGTTGAGAGAGACTAGTTTGTGAGGGAGAAAGACAGTACAGCCACTCACTCGTTCACTTCAAAGAGCCAGTTCAAAGACTCGGCTCATTTGATAACATCACATCACTAATTGACAGGCTTGTTGTTTATAAAGGGCGTTGCTAAGGCTACACCAAACTTTATATATGTGAAGTCTATTCTGGGTCCAAGTTACAATATCCAGATCACGTGATGCAATAAATCAGCAATGCGATTCGTCGTTGAACCCATTAAACCCCCCCCCACACACACACACACACACACACACACACGCACACACACACACACACACACACAAACACGCACAGCAAAAACACAAAACAAACAAACAAAAAAACGAATGGATGAACCGCATCTTTGAACCGGCTCTCACAAGTGAACGAGAAATCCCATCACTATAAAGTTGGGCATTGTATCATGGGGGTCTCTGAAGATTGACTGGCTTCTCAAACCAGCCCCAAGAGGCCATTAGAGGAACTGCAATTTTTGACACTTCCATATTGGCTTTATTTTTCAGCCTCGTAGGTTGCTGCTTGGTCTAAAGCCAGAGTTTTCCATGTCACAGAAATGGGTCTCTTTTAACCTGGCTAGATCGCCATGGTAACTAATGCTACATAGCTAACCTGGTCGTGGAATTCAGCAAAAAAAAACAAACGGTGCCTTTCATAGCTCCTTTGGACATAGTGTCACTCTGTAGTCAAAAGTCGATATATGAGTGATACAGTTCTCAGCAAGGGAAATACGTTACATATAAATGCACTTGATTCAACCTGCATTTACTTGCATTTAACGCAACATAATTCCTTCAAATGATACAATAACAAGTTGGATTATATTTTTATGTTTGGTCCTGATTTGCTGAAGCATTTACACTGTTATATTACAACTGTCTCTTGGTAATCAATAAATTTCATTTCACTTTGCCTTGCCGAAAATTTCCTTCATTCCTTCATTATGGGACATTTTCAGTATACTGAAATGCATTTATTAAGTATACTGTTTAAATACATCAAGTTTAAAGTCATCAATGGCAGTGGCAGCAGTAGTAACTGTAAAAGTGGAAGGAATAGTAGTATAGCTGTTGTATGTACCTCTATGAGTGGCTGTTGTTGTATTTGTTTTTCAGTTGGGGACTCTGTATCCAGGTAGGCCACATAATGGATCAGGGTGTTTATTCTGAAACAATATAACAAACAAACAAACAAACAAAAAAAGAACAGAACAAGAAAGTTAGAAAGGAATAACTGATCTTTATTTATCATAAACTTCAACCTCTGTTTTAAAAGAAGTCACTCCTTTGATTTGAGCTGACCTGTGGTACAGCATGGCCAAGAACTGGACTACCACCAGCAAGGCGAAGGCCAGGATGAACATGAAGCCCAGAGGGTCGATGAAGATATAGTCTCCGGTGAACTCCAGGTTGGTGTCGAGTTCTGGCACCTGGATGAAGATGGGCACGTCTATGACCTGGAGAGTGAAGGTCGCTATGAGCCAGAAGGCGTTGCAAATGAAGTAGACGAAGGTAATCTATGGAAAAAGGGGAAAAGATTAATTTTATATTGTTATTCGTTTGACAGCATTAAACACCAAACAGCATAATCTTAACATATCACCAACATGCAGTTTAAAACATTACTCTGATAGTCACCTTGTTTCTCAGCTCCTTGAGGTTCTCAGCCATTTCTTTCTGTTTCTTTTTGTTCTCAGGAATAGGCTCCAAGTATCTGGCCATCAGCTCTCTGAAGAACTGATCCTCCTCCTGCAGAGAAATACAGAAAGTATTTTAAAAAGTGCTACACCTCATGTGTGTATTATGCTGCTTCTTTCTGTATTTAATGGTGCATGCCAAAGTCCTCATGAGGTAAGATTATTTTTACTTCCCAAAAAACATCAAATATGGACAATAAACGTCATACATCACTCTCAATATATGTCATCTACAAAACAGAGCCTCCCAATTTGGCAGTCTATTCAAGCTGCAAAATGTTCCCAGCTCTTCCTTCCCCTTGTCAATGCCGCTGCTGCCCTGCATCAGTTCTGCTGCTTGCTCTTTCAGCCCCACCTCTACCCAGCATCCACCTGCAACCTCCGGCTAAGTTTTAAATGAAATAAACATTTAAAACTTGAGTGTTCTGACCACCTGCAAAGATGTTAATGCAACATTCCACTCTGGCCTGTTTGCAGTGCTGGATTAAATATCACTAGATTAAAAACATTAAATATGGCCCAGACAATCACAGGATGACAAACTTTAAGGGTGTCTTACTTTTGCAATGAATTTCCTGCCAATATGGCTGTTACCTTATTAACAAATGGACAGACATGTGTGATCATGCCCAATCTTTAGCAGTGGTAATAAAGAGACACAAGTCCCTTTTACACTGCCTGTTCAAGGAGGGAATGTTGTGCTGTTATTTCACCTCGCTGTTCTTTATCAAAGGTACAATCACTGAATGGGGGGATGGAGTTGTCTTGCCTTTAAGCCAACAGCGAAGGTGGTAACAGCTCCAAATCTTTTGACCATAGGATGAGATCAACCGCCATATAACAGGGACAATAAATGATTCGTCACTGTCCGATGAAAAACACATATCTCTGGGCTTTGGTGGCTTAGTGGTAGAGCAGGCGCCCCATGTACAAGGCTGTTGCTGCAGCGGCGCGGGTTCGAATCCAGCCTGTGGCCCTTTGCTGCATGTCATCCCCCCTCTCTCTCTCTCCCCCTTCATGCTTACCTGTCCTGTCCATTAAAGGCAAAATGGCCCAAAAAATTTCGTAAAAAAGAAAAACATGTATCTCCACTTTTGACAATTTTGATTTTTTACAGTGCATGGAGTGTCCATAATATTCCCTTGCAACCATTAGCATTGGGTATCCAAATGACCAATGGAAATATGTTTTATTACATAATCTATTCAACATGTATCTCTGTTGGGTGTCAGAAGTATCCATCAAAGCGCATAGAAAGTCAAAATCATCAAAAGTGGAGATATGTGTTTTTCATCGGACAGCGACAGATTGTTATTTCCATGAAATGCTATTGTTATTATTTATAAAGCACTGTCAACACACGTTACATATACAGTTCATACTTGGGGCTGAGGCTGTTGTGTTAAACATCACGCATCATGGCTCATTTGCTTGCACGATGCCACCATGCTATCTAAAATCACTCAAAGGGTGGCTAAGGCGGTGTAATAAAGGGACCTTATAGCTTTCATATAGCGCGGTGTCTGTGTTAAAAGGGCTACACAGTGATAAATTGAGATATTCACACCTCATTGAGGGTATCCTCCTGTAGACGCATGTCAGCAGGCAAACTCTGCAGTTGTTCGACCCAATCTGGAGAAAAGAGGAAGATGGGAAAATAGTACACAACATGAACGCATGTGACTCATTAATTTTTACAACTTATTTTTGCTAAATTGCCTCATACGAGGACTTACTTTGGTTAGGGCAGGTGAATGCAGGCTCCTCTCGCCTTAAACAAAACAAGAAATATAAGAAACAAACCAGTTAGTTCATATAATTTGCACATTGCAAATTGACAGTGTAAATGTATCCTAAACATGCTGCATATACATACTTTTATTTTACTTTTCTCACCTCTGTTCCTCCACAGGCATGCTCACATCATCCACAATAGTGTTCTGGGGTTGAGGTTCAGGCTCCATTGCCTCCATGCTCAGATTCTCCTGGCTAAGGATGCGTTCTTGATCTTCACTGCCTCTACAGCAGAGCTTTCTACAGCATTTGGCCCGTGAGAAAAACCGTATAAAGGCGCTTTTGGCTGAAAGAGTAACAGTCAGTATCAGCTCAAGTCAAACATACAGTGAAGCAGCTTTTAAAAAATAATGGCCTTCGTCCAAACCTTTAGTGCTGACAGTGCAACCATGTAATGGTTGTGTAACAATATTGTGTAGTAGATGTAATAAAACATGTAATGGTCATTTTTTGCCTATTTTAGAACTCTTATCAACCAATCCCCTAAAACTTATGTAGTTTATCAAGAACTGACTTTAATTTGATGCTTTTTCTACTAAAATCAAGGTGAATACATTTCATAAAGACATGATTAATGGTATTACACATGAATGAAAGTTTACTCAAACATGAAAAGAGTTATAACTGGCTATAATATTTGGGGTTTTTATTGTTTTGAAGGTTGATGTTTGCACAATATATATTCTAATCATTTTTCAGGTTACAACTACTATCTACCTTTTTGGGCTTTGGTTTGTGGAGTGGTGGCTGCAGATTTGGCGGCTCCAGCAGCAGGAGCTGTCTCCCTGGTGCCCCAGGACACGTTGTTCATGTTAACCATGGAGTAAATAGCCAGCAGCAGGTAGGCGCTGGGGATGCACAGAATGTAAAGCAAGCCATAGATCACCAGGCCAATCTCCTGAGGATGCAAAAGTGCAGTAAAGAGGTAAAAGCTGGCAAGGGCGATGATGAAGAGACTGCTTGGATTCATGATGGTTTGGTCCCGCACCATGTTGCCTGATGGGAGAAAAACAGATGGAAAATGAGGCTTAGAAGGCAGGAGCCTTTAAGTGTAAACAGGCTTTGTTGACTGTCATGTTTATGTACCTATTATGACAATCGCTGCTATCATCATGAGGAAGGCGTACAGGATGCTCATGACTGCTGCAATTTGAATCTGAATGTCTGACTTGATCTTGAAGCTGATGCCGAGGAAGACAGCCGGAGGTATGATTGCCATGATCAGAGCACCACTGGGGTGAACGTCTAGCAGCACAGTCAAACTACCTGAATGATTGACAGAGACAAACAAAAGAACAGGTTTAACAACCACACCGTTAAAGGGATGGTTGAGATTGTTTTTAAGATGGATTGTTTGAGGCACTTATTCATAGTTATTATATACAAACAGTAGATGGTGATTGGCACACACCCAATTTGTAGAAGCAGGCAGGAGTACCATCACGGAAGCAAAGTAATTTACTGCTGTGGGCAGGAGCAGCAGCAAAATGTATTCTGGCCAACTAAAAAAATCAACTTCAGTCCTTTGACAAAAAAAGTAATTTTACCCCACAGAACACGGGAGTTGCTGAATATCAGCTGCCTCATTCAGTAAGTTTGTTTATGTTATTATAACTTATGTTGCTTCATCACAAAATAACACAAATCAAGGCAGCGGAAGACCAGCAACTTCAGTGTCCTGCAAAGTAAACTCACTAAAAAAGAGCGTACGGCACGGTGGCCTAGTGACTAGCACTGTCGCCATCACTGGTTCGATCCCAGGAGGGAGCCCTGAATATGAGTGTGAATGGTTGTCTGTCTCTATGTGATAGCCCTGCAATAGTCTGGCGACCTGTCCGGGGTGTTCCCTGCCTCTCGCCTGTCAGCTGGGATAGGCTCCAGCCCCCCCAACGACCGCCAAGAGAATAAGCAGCCACGGAAATGAATGTATGAGTGTAGATAATCACTTCAGCTCCCTGTTAGAAAGGGCTGTCTGATGGCAAGGTAAAGCAGTGAAAATATTCTGAACACAGCGTACACTTAAACTGATATGTTTTTTAGTTGGCTAAAATACATTTTGTTGCTGACCCCTGTCCAAAACAGTACTGACATGGCTTAGCTTCCATGTCAGTGCTCCTGTCTGCTTCCCCAAACTGTGGGCATGACGACTACAATCTACTGTAGGTAATACCCTGACTATGGACATAAGCACCTCATACAACCCCACATTGAAAAATCAGAACTATCCCTTTAAGTTATGATGATCTAATTTACTTAACCACATCCATACATTAGCATTAACCTTTAATCACTATAGTGATAAATGCTAGAATTTCCATTTATTATAATGTCACTGAAATGATTGATTCAGATGTAGGTTATTAAATGATGACTTGATTTTAACTTTGTTTCATAACCAAATAAACTTCTGAACATTAATGAATACATCTTTTTTTTTTTTTTTTTGGCAGAAAGAAAATGACATAACTCTAAAGCAAGCCTGACCTGCGATAATAAGGATGACAGTGGAAGGCGCCAGGATAGACGACGCCAAGTTGAAGAGCTGGTAGAACATGTAGGGTTTGGACATGGATGGGTTCCTCTTGGAAATCAGGTTGGTAGAGCCCAGCAAGTCCGCAATGTTGGCCATGGTGGATGGTCCCCATCGCCGACGCTGAAAATGGCAACAGTAGTGTGACTTATATAGAAAAATGTCAGACAAGATGGCGGCATTATCAAGTTATTTGTAGCTTGCTGTACTTTCAGTTGAACAACCAATTTGTTTCTAGTTAGGTAAAAAATGCCAGTGAATCATCACATTTTGTAGACTACCTGGGAAAAATATGCTCAAGTAGCCACATAGCCTTGACGTAACCCATTGGTTTGTAGATTCCAATTCTGATGGCTTGCGTTTGGCATTTCTGCCATCACCGTCTTTGATTTTTGAGCCAGAAGTGACCATATTTGGGTGAGAGAGTGGAGGTAACCCTAACCTCAGCTAGCAGCTTGGGTAGCATGGTGCATTTACAGCTGTAGTTAACAGTGATAATGCAAATGCTAATTTTTGCTAGTGAACACATAATTAAAATTATTTGTACAAAATGTACTTACTGGAAAAACTGGACTCCTTAGAGGATCTTTTAGTACAACCAAACACTGAACAAGACTTTTTTAGGCGACCAAAATGTAACAGTTAAATTGATGACCTTAAAACGAACTGAAATAGCAACGGATACGGCAACGCCTTTACTCTGTGAATCTGGGGTCACGCCTCGATTACATTACCTAATCACCCTTGACGCCATGGTAGCGAGTTGTCAACGGACAGCACCCACCTGTCACCCAAAGCAGTCCCTAGATTATGCGTGACTTTAGGCCTTAATAAAATGTAAACGTGTGAGTTATATAACAATTCACTTCCTGTACAATTGTGATGAACGATAAAAACTTAACTATAGAGACCAAATCATTTTTGTTCTAGGCTGTATACATCTTTATTTCTGCTGTAAAGTTGTGCATTGTATAGAGCTCAGCCTCACGTAGCCATTAGAGTGCAGTTTTTGTCACTTTTGTGTTGGCTTCATTTTTCAGCCTGGGGGTTGCTGCTTGGTCGAGGTGTAAAAAAACCACAATAAGCTAATTTTCTGAACTAACCTTTGCACAGTACCAAAACTATTTCTATTATTTCTCTTCCTGCAAAAAAAATATTTGCAATTACTACGGATAGGGCAAAAATATAAAATAAGCTGGCTATATATCTTGATATTTTCATTTTCATTTTTGCATAAACTAACAACAAACACATGACAGGATCCATTTTATGCCATGTAAGTGTGATATGGACTCACATTAATTCATTCATTCAAAAAGGTGTGGAAAGCGATGTTTTATTGTTGCAGTCATTTAAGTAACTTAACCAGCTAAGTTATTTAAGGGCATCTTTTCAAAGTAATGGCTGACATCCATTTTAATTTCATTTTACATCTTATTTCACATCTACATAATTGAGACAATATTAATCTTGTAGTTACTGAAATAATTGTACTTGACCTTTTCATGTTGACATACACCTGGTAATTATCTCCTTAGTGATTATGACGGTACACAATAGAGCAAAGTTCTTTTAATAGCCAAAACTGGTTTGGCACTTGAATCTGGTCCAAAGAGTGTTGCACAAACAATTTTATTAACGTTTTTCACATGTTGGCAACATGTGCTGACCAGAGTTCAGCTGCTGACAAATCTGAATGGCTCCTACCTGGTTGTAAAATTCTTTGAACTCCTCTGGGGCGTTGGTGTAGGCGTCAGAGGCCGCATTGTACTCCACTCTCCATCCCTGCTTCAGCAGCAGAGTACACAGCCAGCGGTCCTCACCTGCAAGGACCATTAGAGATCAACAGTGTCAAATCTACCACAACACCATTAACTTTTATTTAAATCCACATTACTAAAGTTTTTATCAGGTAAACTACTTCTGGTTTTGGTGAGACTTTTATCTTTATCCATAATTTGTGCACAGCCAGTTGTAGTAGTACATCAGCTGACTGCTCCTTGGATTTTTCAGATACCTTGGTCAAACTGGATGTAGTGTCGAGCCGCTGAGGATTTGATGGTGTATTTCTTCATCACATTGTCGTCCATCAACGCTGCTGCTCTGAACAGACTGAAGCAGCCAGGGCTGCACAGCACGCAGCCAAACACATGCTCTGCTGCCTTGTGGAGCCAGTGGCCCACTGCATATTCAAACTTCTGGTACCACACCATGGGACCTGTCAGGGAAATACAAAGCTGTTACTACATTAGCTGCTACTGTGTATCTATCTAAGACAGGTCTTTGTTTTGAAGAGCCTTCTACAAAATGTGTTAAAGTGAATTAGTTTAAAGTAGAAAGAGGATCAAAATACACCAAAAAAAAAAAAAAAAAAAAAACCGCTAAAAAAGCTGCGATACCTACCCATCACTTTGTGGACAGATTGGTCATAAGCCAAATAACAGCAGTTTATTGGCAAAAAGGGGCAACACATGGATGCACGTGGCATGGTCTGGCATTGTAATACATGAATTAGCTTTGGACATCTCTTACTTTAAAGGAGCTGTAAACAATATTCAGAGTGGGTCTATGATTTAGAGGTTGTTTGCATATGGCTCTCAACATGGACGTGGCTGAGCCGGCAGCTAGCAGTTAATGATGCTAAGAACATAATCAGTGTTAACCAGGGCTGGGAATTCCACAATTCCACCATCCCGTTATCAGTGGTTACAGCCAAATCAGTGCAGTGCAGAACACCTGCAATGAGCTAGCTTGTGGGATACACACACAGGGACTTACAGGCACTAACATACATGTGCAGTCCAGTCCGACCATCTACCACACATATGTCTATAGGCATTAGTAGGCGTAGACACTTCAGTCGCTTCTCTTGTCAGCCCTGCTAAATATGTGCTAAATTTAGGCTCATATTTCTATAGTATTTTGCATGTCTTGATGGTGCTCTTTGTGGTTGGCTTGGACCGTGGGGGTCAAGTCACTCATCGGAAATCAACTCACCTGTCTGTAAATTCTCCTTCCTCTGACTTCTAGCTAGCTAAATGCTAGCTAGCCAGGTCAAGGTTTGAACAGTTAAATTATGCCAAAGCCAGAAACCATGGATTACCAGAACCATCCAAAAACATGGACAAATATAAGGCATCAACCTACAATGCCAGAAGATGCAAAAAAATAACTAAATTACAGTGCACAAGTTAAAGGAGCTGACGGAATCTCATTTCACTGGAGTTGTAAATTGTATAATTCCATGTGACAAAGACTGATTGATAACAAAGAACAGAGAAGCTCAGATTACAACAAAAACAAAGGTAGCGTGACTTCATTCTCTGCTCAGGGCATCCTTACTCCCTATATCTTTACATAGCATATAATGGTTTACTGCTGAATGAGTGCTCTGAATATTGTATAGAGCTCCTTTAACTTTACACTGTCAAGTACATTTTGTAGTTGCCTTTTAAAACCAAACAACATAAAACCCTCTAACATGCAGTTGACAATAGCATCCCGGCATTTAATCGTCTAACACCAACTATCGACCAAGATCAATTTTTGGCATAAATACATTTCAGGTCCTCAAATTCTTTCAAATGTTTGCTGATTGGTCTGGTTATTAATGATCCCTCTCCTTCTAGAGTGTTTGACCAACCTGATCCAGTGGGATGAATCCTGCCACACGCTGCCCCGACACGTGGGTACAGTTTCAAACGATCAATGAGCAGCATCACAGCAGCCGGCTGGAAATCTGTGTCACCATCTAAAGCCAGGAGGTAGGTGTTGTGCTTCTCTTTCTGAAGGAGCAGATGCAGTCAGAAGCATTAAGCTACTTTTCACATATTAATAAATAACTAGTCCATACCCATTGAGTGCACAGTTGCCCACATACAGTTTCACATGGTGTGTGTTTGGGACACAGGTCATAGGAAATTGCAGATTAAATAGTCAACTGAACCCATTAAGGAGAGCAATGTATTCAGACAGAGTTTTAGTGAATTTGATAGTACGATTGCTTTATTGAAAGTACAGTAGTACCGTTGCCAATAGTGGGATAGTTAGTGGGCTAAAACTGTACATTAGAAGTTGAGGTAGCACATTGAAAGGCAGATAGTTAAAGTGTTTATATGTTGTATTGACTTAAAAGTGGGGCGCACTGGTAGAATGACTGACTGACTGACAGAATGCCACACTGACAGTTTCCGTGATTATGTACAGCATACCATACCATGACTTAGTCATACCAAAAATTAGAAGAAAAAAAAAACAAAACAAAAAACATTCGGCCACAGAGCATTTTTCTGTTGTTATAGTGCCACCCAGTTGCCAATTAGAATTAAATTTCTCCAGTCACCTTGAGGCGTCCTGTTCTACATATCTACCAAGTTTAGTAAAAATTAATATGGCGGTTAGGCCTAGATAAGAAATTAGCTCTCTAGCTCCCCCCATTTTGTTTGATGGGGTCAATAATGGAGGGGTCCCCTCAGATTATGTGTGATCATATGCCTACAAAGTTGCGTGGTGATCAGTGAAACCCTTGAGATGTTATACACCTTTATGTGATGAGCCACGCCCTCCACAATATTCATTGCCTTATAGAAGCTCAGTTTTAGTAAGTTTTCCAACTTTTGCCAAGAGGGAACTTTAGATATTGGTCCCTAGATTTTGTTCACAGAGTTTCATGCAGATCGGTCAAACTTCCTAGGAAGAGATCAATTTTAAGTGTTTTTCAAAAAATTCAAAATGGCAGAAAATCTATATAACCAGAAGTTATGGGTTCTACGACATACGGGGCATGAGATATGCCCATTCAAAGTTTGCAATTTCAATTGGTTGCTATAGCGCCTCCCCTTTGGCTAATTGATGTAATATTGCTTCATTCCCATCCTCCCATGAGCCTCTTTTCGTCATTCATTATATAGTAAGATGATGTAATGTGTGCACTGGTTCATGTGTGTGTGCATCCACGTGTTTTCCCTAATCTCACCTGAAGCTCTTTTTTCAGCTCAACCTTGTCCTCTCCTTTCATCCACCTTTTATAATACTTGGCTCCAACTTTCCAGCCCAGGAGAGAGTACAAGTACATAACCTGTAAAATATCAAATAGTAATCAGCAAGCAGACGCAGTAAAGGAATGGCAATGACCTTATATGATTTGACACTTAAATGTTACAAACTATTTACACTGTGTTGCATCATTTTCCCCCACCTGAGACCATCTCTTCTTGTGACGAATGAGTTGCTTGTCCTTAAAGTGGACCACCAAACTGTTTCCATGAGGCATGGTGACCGCCAGACGCCCTCCGTATGGCGTCCTGATGACCTTCTGATCAGGGATCTGCTGCTGATTTTTGAAGAGGCTTTTATCTATGTTTAAGAAGATGCTGGTGACAGAGGGCAAAAAAAACATACTTAAGTTGCATTTAACGTGACAATCTGTAAAATTACAGTTGCAGTCTAATTACTGTGATATCTCATTTCTTTATTTTTTCATAAAATCAAGCTTGAGTTTCACAGTTTTTACCCGTAGACTTCTCTGATAATTCCCACAAGCATCTCTGCGTATGTGTTGACGTGGCGCCCCTGACTACCGGGAACATTTCTGAAGGCATCGTCGAAGTAGATATGGGCTTCAAAATTCACATCATTTGTTTCTCCTTCAGTCTTTGGCCTGTATTCATCCAGTCTGCAGAGTTACAAAAATCACGTGAAACATATGTGATGATGTTAAATTGAGGCTTAAAGAATCAAATGGGAATTCTATTCCAATCAAACTGGAGGTTGTCACACTGCAATAGAGATATTTTATGAAATGACAGCTCATGTTTTCCAGCAAGACGTTAGTCACTGATCATTTCTTGTCTCTGTTACCTTACCGGAATATTGAAATGATGATCTTCATCATCTCATCGTAGGTTTCATGCCACATGGTTGCACATAGGAACACCTTCACTGGGTCTAGTGGTTGGAATCTGGAAAAGATAAGATTGGCATTTTTGATACCTCACACCAACCAAACAACACATAGCCAATCCTAACCCTGACACTTATGTAACTCCACCATGAAAAAGTGACCTAAGTATGTTCGGAGGGATTTTTCTGACATGCTTTCTGTTCATCTGTCTTTATGTGACGCGTAGGGCATTCCTGATCTTCCCTACACATACACACACAGAACCCACACTTACTGTTTCCGTTTTGCAGTCGTCTGGATGTCGAATCGAGTGTTTAGAAGCAGGGACTGCTCTAAAAATCCTCCTTCATACAGCCTCCTGATGAAAAGGTTCTGAGTCCTCTGGATACGATACAGACTGAGGTACCAGAGGTGAAGAGTGGCCAACACAAGGCCGAGCCACCAGGACACGGCTGAGCCTGAGGAAAGATGGATGACAAGATTTAAGGAAAACTATACTTTCTAATCCTCAGGCAGTCATTTAATCTGTGACAGTCAGAGTTTATATGCAGGTTGTTCTAATACACTGTTTGTACATATACCTACAAAAAGAATTGCACCAACATTCGTATATATCCCATGTTATCATGAGCCAGTAATTTGTGTTTATCCCATTTGGGAAGGCTGGGACCATGTGACCAATGCACAGAAAGAGACAGGTTGGGTAGTGAATGGGTGACAGAACAAGTTAACGCTGGGTTGTTTTAAAGTATGTTGTGGCCATGTGTCTCTTTCTAAACCTAACCTACATATTTCTGCTTTAAGTATGTAACTTATTGTTACAGAGCGTAAGGAAACATTGTTTTATGGTACAATAAAATGCTGAAATTTACTTTTGTCCACTTTTCTTGTCACACTAGCCACTGATTCTCTTAGTTAATCCATTTATTTTCCATTAGGCCACAAGAGAAAAGGCAGCAACCAAAATAGGTAAATGTTTAATGTCAGCAATGTTTCTTTAAAAAAAGAAAAGGGACTTTAAATCCTCTCAATATTTTTGAAGCCAGAAAAGGACATGGTGACCTAAATTTGAACCCTCCATAACTTATCATACATGCAATTCAAGTGGATGAAAACTGTACAAGTTGTAAAACATTTATTACCTGTCAGTAAGCCAATGTCAGCTATACTGGACATGTCCAGGAAGCACAGGGTGTGTGTAACATCCAAAACCAGCTCAGGGAACACACTGCCGTTCAAGATTAGGTTTCTTCCATCCACAACTACACTGCAGTAGTTTGTAAAGTTGGTGCTCTCAGTCCCATTCAGACTTATTCTGTAGTCTTGATAGTAAACAATAACGGGGACGATGAACAGAACCATGACTGCCAGAGAGGCCAGGTACAAAGGAAGGATGAAGCACCGTCGCAGGGCATGCATCTTGCAGGCTGCCAAAGAGAACCAGTGGCAGAGTGCAGAGGAGATCAGCTGGACCCCAATGATAATGGCTATAATTTTTGTTTCACGCCTCGGTATGGAGGTCACAACGTCCCAGTCCATTTGGGCCAGAGGCACATAAGCGCCAATCACACAGGCAGTCACCACGATCCTGAGCAGGCTGGAGAGAATGTTCAGAATGTTCTGGCACTTTCTTGTGTCTCTATACAGCTCTTTGAGTGAAACAGAGCTGCTGTTCTCACTGATCAGTCTCAAGTAGTTTTCCCACCAGTTGAAAGACACCAAGAAGCACCCGCCAACAGCCAGACCCACCCAAATGGCCATCTTGGTATCAGTAGGATCCTTCGTAATGTATAAGAAGAGAAAGAGGACATATCCAAGCAAAAGGAGGAGGAAGGCAGTGATGGATGGCACCAGGAAGCGGTTTCTTTCTTTGGCAGTGCATTGAGCGATAACCTGTAGGAGTGCAGAGAGAACGGCTACACCACTCAGTATTGTCACATTGGTCACAATGTCCAAGTGTGGCATTGCCACGATGGTGAGGATCGCTGCACCCATAGCCACCACGAATTCGAAGAACAGAACCTGAAGAAGAAGCAGAATTAGATCATTGAATATATTCAAGAAAAATACTTTGTTGTTTGAGCTTTTCTAGGTGCACATATTCTCCTCAAGCATTAGCTCAGTTTTACATTAAAAGGGTCATCATTGTAAACTTATACCTTTTTAGCAGCCCCCCCCCCCCCCCAAAAAAAGAAGAGCAGTTTAGAAATCTTTCTCACCAAAGCTGCAGTTTTTTTGGCCGGCAGCTTTGAGGTTTTGTAACATGCTTTCCAGAGGCTCTTTAGTAAGAGAAGCACACTTGAAGCGATGAGAGCACAGGCAATACACAGCAGAGCAACAGGTTTCTGCTCATCTGGGAGGGTCTTGGTGCCTTCACTGGACAAAGTGATGAGGAGGAGGAAAGACGTCTGAAACAGAGAAGGAAGTCGAGGCAAGACAGAAAGATATAAGTGCTTTATAGAATGTAAAAGAGAGACAATACAGTGAAATAACGTACTTTTATTTGAGATAATCTGGAAACTTTAACCACTACTTTACACCAGTGGATTTATGATGAGCAGATTGAACAGTTTGTTACT